CAAAAAAAAAAAAAAAAGAAGAAGAGAAAAAAGAAAGGAAGGGAGGGAGGGTGAAAGGTAACTACTACATATGACTTCTAACTAGAGACTTTGACATAAGAAAACTTAGCGAACCATAGGTGATACTCAGAGGGATTAGATGGTAGAGGCCTATAACTTTAATTTCTTGATTTTGATGGTTATACTTGAAATACAAAGGAGAATGCCTCCGTTCATAGAAAATACAGAGTAATAGATCCCAAAATCAGTACTTACTCTCAGAGAAGGAACTTAAAATTCAATAGGTGCAGTTTTCCTATTAGTTTGTGATTGTTTCAAAAAAAAATTTTCTTTGAAAAAAAAAAAAAAAAAAGTTACATCCTCAGCACCTAGACCAAGCCGGGCACTCCAAGTGCTCAATACATATTTGTCAAATGAATTAAAGAACTATATAAACAGGTACAGCAAACATATCCTTAGGGAAAAAAAGGACACCTCCCCCCCAAATTTTTTTTTGTCTTTTTGAGACAGGGTCTCACTATGCAGTTCAGGATGGCCTTGAGCTCCCTTTGTAGCCCAGGCTGGTCTCAAACTTGCAACGATCCTCCTGCCTCAGCCTCCTGAGTGCTGAGATTACAGGCGTGTGCCACCACGCCTGGCTAGGACACCCAAATATTAATGGTAGTTTTTTTACAGAATGGATTTGTTCTAGGTAATTTGGATTTTTTTTACTTTATGCTTTTCTGTTTCTTAAGTTTTCTGCATCAAGCATGTATTATTAATTGTCACATTGGCCAGGCCACTAGACAGCTAGGACTAATATTCTGGAGGCACAAGTCTCTCCTAGGGTTTGTGGCTCCAACATTTTATGTTATCAGTGATTTGGACAAGATTTTTGGAAACTGCTGTAAGTGTTGGGAGCTGGAGCCACTGGAGTTGGTTGTTGGTCATGTGTCTGAGGGTGGGACAGATCCACAGTGCCTCAGGAAGTCAAGCTACCTCAGTATTGAAAAAAGTATCCAGCTTGGACAATTACAGTCTTAGTCTTAGTCTTAGTCGCTAGGCAACATTATCTCTCCTGATACTACTTTGCAACTGTATAAAATAAAGGCCCCTACTGTTGGAGTCAGTTCTCTTGCTCATCAGGCAAGAGGTAACTCCACCTGACCCTGGCTATGGTCTCTTGTCTTTTTTTTCTATATCCTCTCACCATTTTCTCCCGGGGACCACAGAGAGACCACCGACTCCCACATATAAGCAATGCCCCGTGTCATTTTGTATATAAGTAAAGATATTTTTGGAATAAATTTCTAGCAGTAAAACTACATGGTCAAAGGTATGTGCATTTTAACATTGTAATACTGATACACTGCCAAGTCGTCTCCTGTAGAGATTATCTGAGAGCTTCACTGGGTACAATTAAGCTTAGTAAGCATTATATTAGCCCTAAACACTGAATTGTGTCGACGTGATTATGAAAATAAATGCATCAGAGAAGTACTAATCTGCATCCTCTTTATACCAAGTTAGGCTGAACATGGTTTCACACTTTCAGTTTTGTTATTTATTTTTATGAGGGGATCATGCTATGTTGTCCAGGCTGTCTTTGAACTCCTGGGTTCAAGTGGTCCTCCGGCATCAGCCTCCTGAGTTCTGGGATCACAGCTGTGTGCCACCATGCCTGGCTAGAAACACTTTATGTATTAGGAACATTAGCTCTTTTCCTGTGATATGAGTTGCAAGTATTTTATACCAAGCTATTGTACATCTTTCAACTCTCATCACAATGGTTTTGCCTTGAGAGTACTCTGCAAACAAACTGCCTAAGTTAGGTGCCAGTTTGTGGCACCCTGCATAAGTTATTTAACCAGTCACTCAACTCTCAGTGAGGTGGTGATGTTAGTGTACCCTTCACTGGGTTGTTGTAATTAAAAGAATGAATATATAGAAAGCGGTCGGAAAATACTTTACAGAAGGCAAAGTCTAGAAAAGTGCGTTTTAAAAATATTGACAAATGTAATGTTAATTCATCGTAGATCCTACTTCAAAAAAAAATTCTTTTTAGACAGTCTTGCTATGTAGTATAGGCTGGCCTTGAACTCACTTATGTAGCCCAGGCTGGCCTCCAACTGTGAGTGATCCTCCTGCCTCAGCCTCTTGAGTCCTGGGATTACAAGTATGCACCACCATGCCTGGCTGATCCTACTTCAAAGAAAAAAAAAATTATTTGCTTTGGCTTTAAATTCTGGAGATAAAATTTAAAAAAAAAGATTTTTTTACTTGTGGATACTTAACACCACCTAGGTACTAATCCACATAGAGGGTGCTTCCTCAGTGGGCGCGGTAGAACAAGCCCTGGGTGAGGTCTTTCAGCGCGTAGCATTTACTCCTCACAATAACCTGCTGCACTAGGTTTCCTACCTCATTCCACCAGGGAGGAAAAAGGCTGAGATGCCACTTGATTTGCCCAAGACCAAGCTTCCTTTGTGCCTTGATTTACAAATGTTCTTTACCTTTTTTTCTGCGCCTTTTCAGGACTCCAAGGCATATGCAGTGCCCACCTCACCTTCCCTCCCCACCGTTCCCTCGGAGGAGATTCCCTGGTGCCCAGCGGACCCCGGGCTGACTGCATTCACTCTGCAAGCCCAGGCCAAGTCCTCCTCCCACTTCCTCCAGCGGTCCCAGCTCCTTAGAATGGAATCCTGTTTGCTTCCTCCTAGAGTTCAGGTCTTACAGATTCTCCCTCTGAAATGTGTCTTTCATCGCCGCTCCCTCAGGTCCCTGCTGCCAACTCCCTGGCTACCTTTCACAAGGCCTGCCACGGCCCCCCGCACCTGTGCGACACCTGGGAGCACAGCTCCAGCTCTGCAGCTCCCCAGCTCTCCCATCTCAGAGCCCCCACTGCCTACTCTTCCCTGCCGCTGAGGCTCCACATTATCAACTCCAGCCACGTTGCTCCCAACACTCCTCCCAATCAGCCCAGCTACTCCGGGAACAGGTTTCCTGCCTTACTGTCCGTCCAGATTAGAATCAATCTCTCTCTCCCCCTCTCCGCCGCCTCAAGGCCACTCGAGCTGTCCTACTCGGGTCACACGCACGTCTCTCGGCCGGCCCGACTGCATGCCCACGGCTACTGATTGCCAGGCCTTTCAACAGGGACGATCGATAAACCCAACGACCTCGTCTCTGAGGGGCCCGGCCACCCCCGGGGGCTGGGTTAGCGGAGCACAAGACAACGCGAGGCCCGCTCCGCGCGAGCGTCGCTTCTGACCCGCGCCCGCCACAGGCTCCCGCTTCCCTGAGAACATGGCCGCCGGCCGGCACCTGGCGCACGCACACAGATCGTTCTGGAAACGCCGGCGGCGCGAACGAACCCCGGGCTGCGGAGACCGCAGGGCACCGGACCAGCGGCCCGCCACACGGGAGGGCGAGCCTCGCGGACTCGGCCGGCCGCACGGCGGGGCGGGAACAGCGGACTAACACCGGGGCCACCTGAGACCCCGTCAGGGCGGTCCTCCGCTCCGAGGGCCCGCGCACAACGTCCACAGACGTCTTCCTACAACACAACTCTTTCTTCTGCACAACTCTTTCTTCGCCCCCAAATCTCGGCGCTAGTTCGGCCTGGGGGAGCAGCCGCAAAGCGGAGGAGCCCACGGCGCCTCTCCGCCTCCGGCCCCGCCCCCCAGCCCCAGGCGCGGGCGGAGCCGGAGCCTCAAGCCCCGCCCATTCGTGAGAGTTCACCTATGGACGTCGACAGACTGAAGCCTTACCCAATAAGAAGGCAGAACTGGCCATCGTAGCCCTATCGGCTGCGAAAACACAAAAACGTGCGCACCTAATTGGCTGACACCACAACTCGGTCTTTCCGGGTCGTTCCACGCCTCACGCATACTTCTGCAGAGCTGGCCCGGAGGAGGACCCGACAGGACGCTGTCTGAGTAAGTCGGTGCAGCCGCGGGGTCCTTTGGCGTCGCGTGAGGGGCCGCCGCTCTCCCTTTACGGAGGCGGCTGGGGCGTCCGAGGCAAGGGCGGGGAGGGCGCGCACGTGGAGTGCCGGCCGCAGCGGGGCGTGGGCGGCTGTCTGGGCCCCGGAGCCCCGGAGCG